AGAATCTAAAGTGCATCACAGCTCAGGAAAAAAAAGCACCGAAATAAAGCACCGAAATGTGCGCTGCTTTACGGTCTGGTTACTACCGTTTATGTCAGAACCGGTGCCATCATGGCACCGGACACCGGTACCCATCCCTAGTTATAAGTTACATGTGTGATATTTATATTTGTGCTTTGTTTTTGTTGTCTTTCCTCAGGAGAACAATCTCAAATTGATGAAGACCTGGTTAGCATGGTGATTGAGGACTCCCAGCCATTTAGCATTGTGGAGGACAAAGGATTTAAAAGATTTGCTAAATCATTAAATCCTAGCTATGTTCTCCCCACTAAAAAGGTCATAAAAAGCAGTGAAAATTTAGTTTTTACAGAATAAAATGTGGGCAGGACTGAGGCTCAAAGCCTCAGTGTGTAGCTGTCCATACCTCAACGTTACAAAAGCACAACCACTGTCCACACCTCACCTCACAGTAAATGATCATTTCCACTTTAAGCATTTCCAATTGATCATTTTCCATACTGCCAGTATAAATATACACAGTATACTGCATCACTACAATATACATGTTTTACACACTCCTTTTGTTGTTGACATTTACAGGCTGTGTGCAAAATGCCACACTCTTCAAATTCATGCCAACTAATATTTTTACGTCCAGTAGGTGTCCTACTAGAGCAAATGAAGCTTCAAGACGCTTTGCGCTGGGGTGAACCAATTGGATGAAAAGCTTCAGTGTTTCATGAAGCTTCATCTGCCCATCACTAGGTCATGACTGTCGTCTGTGCTCTTTTTTTTGTGACTGAATTTTAAAAAGTTAAGAGACGTTCAACCCTTAACATCATCAAAACACTGAAGTAATGGCTGTAGAGATGGAGAAGGAGTTATTGCTTGAGTAAGAAGCAGGTAACTGAGAAGAGTTGCCTCGTTACCTCCGCGGAGAGCATAACGAACTGGCAAGGAGTAGCAGATTGCACCAGTTTAAGAAGCTCTCTTACCGATTGCTTGCAGATGAGCCCCAGGTGAGATGCTGGAAGCTCCACCCTGAAGGGGTGGACAGAAGATCAATTGCCATAGGTGGAAACCCCCCAGACACTCCCGTGGACCATGACCATATATATATGTTTATACAGTACATATGGATTATCAGATATGACTTGTTTCATCCTCTCAGTATTAGTATTCAGTAAACAAACACCAGCATTATCATTTGTTTGGATTTTTTTAATTAATTGAGTTTTCAGGACAAGATTTAAGAAGTGACATGACAAACGTCAAAATAAACCACTTTGAATGCAGTTTAGTTTAGTTTTACACTGGGACAGGTATGTCACATGAAGCAAGCAACACAACATTGCTTTTATAGCCTAAGCTAGTTTGCAATGCCTGTAAAAGTTGGGCCTGTAAAACGCAGACCATGTAATAAAATACCAGAACAACAGCACAAATTCATTGTTGCATGACTGATTAATCTTTAGATTTGACTCGGTCAGACATCCCATTTTCAAATCTGTTTTCAAACCCTGTTTGTAATGACTGTTTGACAAATTTATCCAAATTCACAGTAACAGTTCCACAATAACAGAACCAAAAAAAGTACTGGGACCAGTACTTTTTGTTATTTACATGCTGCCACTTGGCAGTATCATCAGGATGTCTCCTGTCACCCTTCTACTGCCCTGTCCTCTTAGTATAAAAGCATCTTTGGCAACCTTTACTGCTGCCAGATGTTTTAAATTTTTGGTCTCTTTTGTTTGTATGGTTGATTAGAAGACACTTGGAATTTAACACTTTTGTGTTTATAACAAATTGTTAGAAGTAAAAATTAAGTTGGACTTTAAGTTTTGGGAAAGTTTTTCACCTCTCATCAAAGAGACTTTTTCAGTTCTAAAACCAAATGGTGGAAAGTCCCAGGTATTTAAACTCTAGTTGGGGTTGTCCCTTAAGAAGGGTAGTACCCCACTATTAATCATGTGCCTCATTACACAAGCCAAGGTGGGTGTGGGTCATTATTACTAGAGGTTTCAGTTTAAACTGCTGCGAGACCTTTCGCACACCCTACATTTTCATCTGCTAGCTGTGTGCTGTTTTCTGCACAACCATTTGCATACACATTTTGTTGAACATATATGATGAGTGCTGTAAAACTACTTTTCTAGATTAAAAAAAAACCTCTTGAAGATGAAAGCTGTCTGAGTATTGGCTGGTATGTAAAAAACAAACAAAAAACCCCACTAACTTCCAAACCACCTGAAGAAGTTCAATATTTGAGAACACGAATAAAAAAAAATTCACATTGTAAAAAACAACAAGTGACAGTTTCTGAATGGTATATAGTTACATTTCAGGATAATGCAAAAAAAAAAAAAAAAAAAAGCATGTAGAATACATGAAACTTCCTAACATGAAATTCTTAGTCACAATATAAAAATGCTATTTTTGTTCACTTTTCAATATAACACCCTCAACTGCACCATTGAGTAAGTGTGGAGTATTAAACATTAGGCCTCTCTCCTCCAAGTCCCTGTTAGTGAATCATTTCATTTGTTGCTTTGCTGTAATCTTAGTTACAGCAAAGCAACAAATGATTCCTTCACTGTTATCTTCTTCAATGCCACGTGCCAACACAATGCAGATCAGCTACCTAAACGTTACTCCCACACAGGTAATTACCTTGTTAAGAGTGTTACATCCTCACTGTGTATGGCCCTGAATGGTTCCTCTGAAAAACAAGACAAGTCAGAGAGTGTCACGGCAGGTTACACCAGTGTGTTTTGTTGCACAAACCCAAGAGCAGACACTGAAGGAAGGAGCTGCGTTCTTAACTAAAGGCGAGCCTTTATTCTGGCCAAACACATGAACTAAACTAAAAACGAGACCAAGTTTACATGAAAGGAAAACAGACAAAAGTAAACCTGTGACTATGACACAAATTAAGACTGTGACTTGAACTATGACCTCGACTGCAACTGGGACTATGACTTGCTCAATATGAAGGGAAATAGGCAGACGTCCTGACAATGAACAGTAAGAGACAAAGGACTTAAATACACATATGAGGTGATCAGGGGAAGTGGAGACACATGAGGAAAAAGCTGACTAGAATGAACATAATGATGCACAGAAAAATGTAAATTAAACACAATGGACATTGAAACCAGACTTTCAAAATAAACAGGAAACATGACAAAACGCAGACATGACATGAACTTGACAACATTAACCATGCAGACAAAACATGACAGGCAAGACACACTCAACAACAGGGGGAACTTTAAAACAGGGGTGAAGACCCAAAGGAATCTAAATGAACAAAGAAGTACAACCGAGGAACCTAGGAGCTAATACCAAAAGGACTAAACATAAACAATGAATATCAAAATACAAGAAAACTCAAAGCGCTGGATCACACAGTCCGGGACTGTGACAGAGATGCTTGATTTCCTGGTACTGTGTAACTCTCAAACACACACTTTAAAGCAAATATTAGAATAGAATAGCCCTTTTTTGTCATTGTACATGTGCCACAAAATGATGGGTGCTCCACGCCAGCTGTGCAGGGGTAAAAGAATATATATAAATATTAAAGACATCAGAAATAAATAACAGACAGAAAAGATATACATACAGTGTAGAGGCATATATACAGGATAAGAGAACCTAACTGAGAGCAAAGTGCTTGGAAGCAGTACAAAAGTACTTCATCTAATAATGAGTAAGCTGAAGAGGAAATGGATTTGCGCTCATCTAGAAGATCTTTGTTTGGCCTGGAGAAATAGTTTTTTACTCTGAAAACATAGCTGTCTGTAAAGCTAAGACATCTTCCTATTCCTATTAGTTAAAAAGCTCTTACCTGGTCCAGCTGTCTTTGCCAATTCTCTAACCTTCCTTGCTCATTAGCAACTTCTTGACTTCAAATATAATATGCTAGTACTGCAACTTTTGCATGTGTGTCAATTTCACGCTCTGGAGAGGCAAAGCATGGAATGGACACAGTGGACCAGTGGCATGCTTTACTATGTCATTAAATTTTTTTTTCCCTCTCCCATATTGTGTCTTTTGTTCTTTCTTCTCTTCTTCTTTTTCTTTCCCCTCATCCTCCAAATGGTTAGGGGAGATGGCTTAATCCTTAAATTCTTTAATATGGTTCTGTCAGAGTTTTTTCCATCCCATTGTAGAAAAGTGTTTGTTCATATGGGGCTGTTTGGTTGTTGGGATGTTTTCCAAATACTGAGCAGTCCATGAATTAACCTGAGGTCAAAGACATTTGTGCAGCTGCTAATGATCTTTCCAAAGATGCCACTGCTACCTTTTCATAGGCACAATGTTAACCTGCCCTAAGAATATACAAACATTTGGCTAATGTCAGTTCTCTCCTAGATGTAACAGTTCTTAGTAGCTTCTTAGCAATGCTGTTAGTTGTCAGAATACTTTTACTGTAAACTAAATGTTAATTTTGCAGTTTAAACCAGGGATGTAAAACTCATTTTACATCGTGGGCCACTTACAAGCTACTTTGATCCAAAGTGGGCCAGACCAGTGAAATTACATGATACATGTGTAAAATGACACAAAAAGTAATTCATTTCCCAGACTATCCCGTGATTCTAAAATATACATTTTTCATTCATTCAAAGAAAATATACTTTCTCCTGTGAATCCACTGTAAATTTATATAGCAGAGAAATGTCTGTCATTTGATTGTTTATCTATTAATTACTTTGCTGTAGTATAAATGAGGCGGGCTCTTTATTAATAGGAAAAGCTGTAAACTTATAAAAATACAGTTAGAAATTCAAAATCTATGCACTCCTTCACATTTTCCTGAGCCATCCAGAGGGTCAGAGTGGAGTCAATGACGGCCGTTTCTGGCCTCTGGCCTGATTTTTGACACCCCTGGTCTAGAGCTGTCATTGTTTTAGGATACATAATGATGGACATGCTAACAACACTTTAAATAAGCCTGTGTAAAAATAAAACAAACCAAGGCTAGAAACATTTTATTTTGACTACAAGTTACATGCTTTATTTAATGCCTGAGGAAGATAACACTAATAATCAGTAACATTTTATTCAACAATAAAAATGCACTCATACAAAAATTATTCAGCAATGAATTTGATCTTATTTTGCCACTCTAATAAACCCCCAAAAGCTCAAAAATAGGGGAGGTCAGCAGCCCAGTCAATCTCAGAAGCCTTTTGACTCGCAAGCTGTTGATAACTTGATTTGCAGGATAAAGAAGCTATTTTGACATGGAGTCAGCAGCTGACCCCCCCTGCTGTTTTTGCTGGCCAGCAGTCTCTGGGCAGTCTACTGTATAACCACACCATCCTTTTACAGTAAAACTGAGACCACTTGTAAGCATCAAATATGGAATTTGAATGTAAAATTATGGCAGTCAGGGGCAAGTTGAGAAACTACTAATTGCTCTCAAACACAATAAAAGTTGCCATAAAGGCAGTAAATTAAAAAACAGTTCAAGTTGTTGTATATGTTTTACTGACTGCTCTTGTGACTAATGGAGTTTTCTATTACTCCAGATTACTACACTGTGGCAGAATTGTAGATTAACGCTGTAATCTTAATTCATAAAGTCTGACAGAAACCCAGTAAAAGAATCTAAGCCAGTGATAGGCTACTGATTTATGATTAGAAGACTCCCAAGCAAAAAAATGACACAAGTCAATTATTCACCTCAACTTGCCAAAGATCAAAGTGTATTGGTTGACCATGAGTCATAATAAGACTTTAGATGGTCTTAAATTTTCGTGTATTTCAGGGTGACGACTTCATTTGCAGTTGGAAGGTAACATCCCATACCTGTAAAAAAATGTAAAAGTTCAGAGAATATTATATAATACGACAAGTTAGATTGTGTGCATCAAATGTCTGACCTCAGCTTATCTTACACATTGTGAGATTGGTTCACTCACCAACATTGAGTGGGGTTGTACCACTCAGCAGTTGCCAGTAGTGTGATGAATTTCCTGCCAAACCATTTACACTCTGAAGGAATGGTCCATAGTCATCGTGTGGTATGTACTGAAAGCTGGAAACATAGGGAATGACTTTTTAAAGAGTGAAGTGGACAGTTTTTAATATAACTATGAACTCCTTTTTAACAATGCAAATAGTTTCACTCTCTATGTTTTTACACATAACTCTGCATTCAGTTATTAGTTATTATTAATCTCTGGCTGTTTTGCGTCTTTTGTCCTGTCTCCCTCCTGTGTGAGGCCATGTGATTGTTGGGACTTTCTGTATGTTATTGCAGGGTCTTTATCTTACAAAATAAAGTACCTTGAGCAAATGTTGTGGTGATTTGGTGCTATATAAATAAAATTCAACTGAAAAGAAGAGTTATAGAAGGTCCTCTATTGTAACTGCACAAAAGAGCACAGACACTTTCAAAAACTCATGAGGATTTATGAAACATTAATGAAAGGAAGGCATTTCTTAAAGCTAAAGATGTTATGTGGTTTTTGACTGTACTGTACATATACAGGTTTCTGTGGTCTACTGTAAGAAAAAAGTATGAAGATTTGTTTTATTTTAAGATGTCAACAAACATTCCAGGGCACAATTAGTCATCTGGAATTAAAAATTCACACCCAGATATACGGGGTCTCAATTTTAATAAAAAGTTAAGAGAACAAAACAAAAGGTATGGCTTCTTCTAGTAAGGAAACAGTTGATATCATGGTCTTACTTGAAGCCTTGGTTTGAGTATTTCAGTCTCGTCAGTCCACCGAAGAGGCTGCCTCTATAAGCAGTAGAAGTGTTGTAGGTCTTAATGTCACTGGGTAACACATTCACCTGCACTCTGAAGTTAGTGTTACCTTAAATAACAAAGGAGGGTGAAGTTAGTTTATCGAAGATGAGCAGAAAAACAATAAAGGTGATCTTTTTGCTTTATAGCTTACCCTGAGCTGATGTCCCAACAAAAAACAGCAGCAGCAGGGCTGCAGAGAGGAGAGCAGGCTTCTTCATTTCAACTGCAGGGCAAACAGAAAATTTTGATATGCAAACATGAACACAAACATACGTTGTGGAAAGCAGTTCCTGAACACTGAGTATCACCATCCCAAAATACAGCATTTATAATGGAATAAAACCTCTTCATGTTTTATTATTATTTTTATTTGGTACGTGAGTTTATCAAGTCATCTAAAAGTGAGGTGTGCAATATTAAGGAAGTTCAACAAAGTTAAGCTTTTCTTGCTTGATAAACCCTAAAGTCTAAGTTAGAGATAAAGAGTATCTCATTAGTGGTCATCAACTTTCCCTGTTAAGTCAGGCTTTCTGCTTCAGACTCTGAATGCCCAGGATTTCATGTGTCATGTTATCCCTGTGAGTGTAGCCTACTCTAACCAGAGACGTTAGCAGATGATAAAATGGTGACAAAAATCTGTAAAAAACATGAAAAATGTAACAGAACCACACAGAGCAGTAAAATAAACATTTCAATTCAAGTAAACTATTTTAATGTTGACCGCTTTGGGTGCTGCCTTTTATTTCTAATATAAAGACTGCATGTTAGAAATCTGAAACCTTAGACTGGATACATTTAAATATTAAAGGTTACTGTGCCTTTGAAAAAAAAGGAGACATGGAAATCGCTTTAGTATGTTAGTAGATCAAAGGTAAACTGCTTTTATTTATTATCAATGATATTTAAAGATATTCTTACCTTTTTCAAGTTCTGTTTTCAATAAATGTGTAAGAATGCAGCCGTGGAGGTTGTAACTTTTCAGTTGAACAGTTCCTCCTCCTCAAGTTGAAGCTGAACTACAGATTAGGAACTTTTATACCTCTGCGCCACACATAGCATTATACAGAAACAACCAATGATGATACACAAAAATAACCAAGCCCTTTACTTGTGCAATCAAAAAAAAGAGAAGCTTAAATCTGTGTTGACTAACCATGGATGTTATCGAATGACAAAAGGTGACCATGTATATTAAATTGCATAGGAGGACTTTTAATTTGAATAACATTTGCTACATTTGGCATTTTTTCTGCATTTAATCGTTTAATTGCAGGTTTGAATTCGACCTGCGAATTTGACACCTAAGTGATTTGTCAGACTTCAGCCTTCTTCTTTACATAACTGAGCACTTTTATTGCTTGGTAGTTAAATCACTGTAATGAAAAAATCAAACAGTCTCAAATGCAATATGTAAGCTATGTTGAGAAATGGTAATACTATGATGTGGAGCTGTATCATTTGGAAAATGAATACCACGTTGTTGTTACCATTCATAGCATTCATGCTTCACAAAGGTAAGGTGTGCTGCTGACAGAAAGGACATTGTGTGGGTTTAACCTTATTTCTAGTTTGGTACCAAAATGTCTTAGAAGAATTTTTAGTGTATTTTTCCTTCCTTTTTGACTTTAACTTGAAATTGGCTCTCTCTACAGTACAGTGTCATTTCCTGCTCCTGTACTGCGCCCGGCCTGCTTTATTCTTGCTGACATGGCACAAATCAGTGATGCAGATTTAATGCACACTTTAACTGAAATATAGCAAAAGTTCAAAATGTTCTGATAATGCAGGGTTGATGTTTTTGACTTACAAATTTAGAAATTTGTTCTCTAAATAGCATCAAAAACATTAGCTCAGGTAGCCTACTATTAGCTAATTTTAGCTTTCTGAGTCACTACTCTGCTTGTGTATTGCGAGTTACCAGTAAAGGAGCTGATGTACTTTATTATTTTACTTGTTAAAGATTTCTATTCCTATTCTGAGCTGCATTTCTTGTTCACAGAACAGCTCCAGGTTATAGCGAGTCAAAGGGTGTTACTTATCTGTTTTCAGTTGCAGTAGTAGTTTTCAGTGGTCTTAGCCACATAGTCTAGGCCATCTTTATGTAGAACAATAATTATTTTTTTCAGATCCTCACAGAATTATTTGCCATGAGGTGCCATGCTAAACTTCTAGTGACCAGCATGAGAGTGTGAGAGCAATAACACCAAGTTTAACAGTTTAACCTCCCCCCTATTAAAACCCGTGACCTTGTAACACTAACGAATCACATGACAACGGGAAGGGAAAGGGCTAGTTGGGCACAGTTTGGACATTTCCCCTCAGAGGTTTACTCGCTTTTGTTGTCAGCAGTTCAGACATTAATGGCTGTGTGTTGAGTTATTTTGAGGGGACATCAAATTTACACAATTATACGGAACCCCGCAGGGGACATGGGAGGAAAAAACAATTAAGACGCAAAACTTTTGCGAGATTCCGAGTTATTTTTGCGTGATCTCGCAAAACAAACTTGGGATCTCGCAAAAGTTTTGCGAGCTCTCGCAAAACTATCTCGGGACCTCGCAAAAGTTTTGCGAGATCTCGCAAAACAAACTCGGGATCTCGCAACAGTTTTGCGAGATCTCGCAAAACAAACTCGGGATCTCGCAAAACTTTTGCGAGATCTCGCAAAAGTTTTAGCCGCATTCTTCCCGTTAGCTCGAGACCTACTACAGCCGGGAGGAACACCGCTTTCCCGGCACATCGTGCCTCGACCTCCGGTCGGCTTCGAGCCGGCGTCCGAAGAATGCGGCTAAAAGTTTTGCGAGATCTCGCAAAACTTTTGTGAGATCCCGAGTTTGTTTTGCGAGATCTCGCGCCCCCCCCCATGCACACGCACGCACACATCCTCCAACCACACACGCCCATATTTTGCTCCATTGCGCTTTATTTCACACCTCAAACATTTAGTAAACAATTAAGCAAATACAAGTAACCTGCAATAAATTATAGGTAGTAATAAAATAAACTACTAACTCTTTTACGCTTCGTCCACACCTACACGGTATTTTTGAAAACGCAGCTGTTTCGTTCACACGTAAACGCTGTTTTGAATCACCGAAAACGGAGATTTTTTAAACTCCTTTTTTTCATTTACATGTGGACGATGAATACAGAGTTGGTCGCAACGTCAAAGGTATGCGCCTTTTTCATGTCACGCACGTTATTTTTTTACATGAGATGAACTGCAGAATGGCAGATAGAGACGAAATACTGTTAATCTGACTATCTTCAGGTTTTACACACTTGCATATACACACGCAGTTACTGTCCTTCCATTTAGAAAGACAGATGCGTCATGGTGTGATTATTTTACAAGTCGTTTTTTTTTCATGTGTAATAATATTCAACATTGCTATCAATACATTTTTCAAAAAATGCCTCTCTGTGCAAAATGTGTTTAAAAACATAAACAACTGTGGGATCCTGTTTGTCTGTGATTTGAACAGCAGGGAAAACCAATTCTGCAGGGAGACCTACCTCGGCAATTGTGCAGGTGAAACCAAAGGGATGATATGCTTTACCATATTTTCTAGTCTTTGGCTTAGAATGAAGTTGGTTTGGAAACATATTCAGCTATGCTTCATCTCCTGCTTTGCGTTTCTGTGGGCGCTCTGTGCTAGCAGTGTCCAAGCGTTTTGTTTTTTTCCCCCCCTTTTCATTTGCATATTAGTCAACTGAAGTTGAACTGAGCCCCACACTTTGGGAAGGTCCGCTTTAGTGAGAGTCATGCACTCCATTCTGTCTGGGTTAGACCAAGCTTTCACCTTAGCCTTGACCCATGACAGTGTACGTAGTGTAGATCAACTTATCCCCAGGACACTGAAACAGTGTAAAGTTCCACATGCATGCGGCTTAAGAGGAAGAGAATGTAACCCTCTCAAAGTTATCCACTGCTATTCAAGCCAGTTTTAATGTTTAATATATGCAGTACCAATTTTATCCAGCAGAGGGGAGTGATGGCACTATAGTTGTCTTGCAAAGCATTATGAGGTAATAAGAATAATTGCAGTGCAAGCAGATAGAGAGCAAGCCAGGAAAAAAAACAGAGCATAAAGTATTCACCGGAGTAAATAGGAACTTTAAAAAAATAAGTGTTAAGGTTTTGACAGATAAAGACTTATGGGGATTTGCTCACCATACATCCCATTCTCCAGTTGTTGTTTTACTTTGTTGTGACATAATGCGAGAAATAGCACCATATTTTACTGTTTTCTTTTTCCTTTCCTCACCAAACCAGAGTGGTTAGTGGAGGCTTTTATTAAACAGTTATTCAACAGTAATGCACTAATACAAAAATTATTAAGCAATTTATTTGTTCTTATTCTGCTCACAACCCCATAGGAGCCCCCAAAAGCTCAAAAATAGTTGTAATTTCACAGCTGATCTTAGAGACTTGCTGGTGTCCAAGAGGAGGTCAGCTTCCCAGTCAATCTCAGAAACCTCCTGGCTCCCAAGCTGTTGATAACTGGATTCACAGAATGCAGAAGCCATTTTAAAGCTAAGCTGCCCTTATTGGCTGTTTTTCCTGGCCAGCAGCCTTTGGAGAGTCTACTGTATAACCAAACAATCTTTTTACACTGAAACTGATATCCCTTGTCAGTATATAAGTACCTCTCAAACAATGGAATTTGAATGTAAAATTATAGCACACAGGGGCAAGTCGAGAAACTACTAATTACTCTCAAACACAATAAAAGTTGCCATAAGCGCAGTAAATTAAGAAACAGTTCAAGAACTTCAGTTGACTAATATGCAAATCTTGCATGTCTTTAAACTTTAAAATGTTTTACTGATTACTCTTGTAACCAATGGAGTTTTCTGTTACTTCAGGTTGCTACACTGTGGCAGACGTGTAGATAAAAGCTGTAATCTTAATTGATAAAGTCTAACACAAACCCAGTCAAAGAAACTAAGACAGTGATAGGCTACCAACTTATGATTAGACACATTTTGTCATGAAAAGCTTCCAAACAGAAAAATTACCCAAAAACTAAGTATTAACTTAAACCTGTCAAAAACCAAAGCATGTTGGTTGACTATAAGTCAGAATGAGATTTCAGATGATCCTGTTGTGTTGAGGTGTATTTAAGGGTGATGACTTCATTTGCCTTTGGAAGGTAACATCCTATACCTGTTAAAAAAAAATTTCAGAGAATATTATAATGGGACAAGCCGGACTGCGTGCATCAAATGTCTGACCTCAGCTTATCTAACACATTGAAAGAATGGTTCACTCACCAACATCAAGTGAGGTTATACCACTCAGCAGTTGCCAGTAGTGTGATGAATTTCCTGTCAAGCCATTCACACTGATGAGGAATGGTCCATAGTCATCATTTACTTTGTATTCAAAGCTGTAAACACAGGGTATGACTTTTCATGGACAAAATTATGCACAGTTTTTGAAATAACTGCGAAGCTCAAAAGAAGGTTATTGTAATTGCAAAAGTACAAGAGCACCGACACTCTTGAGAACTCATAAAGACTTATGAAACATCAATGAAAGGAAGGCATTTTGTTGAAGCTAAAGATGTGATGTGGTTTTTGACTGTCCTCTAAATACATGCAGGTTTCTGTAGTTTACGATGATCAGATGAAAGTGTGAAGAATTGTTTGTAAAGGTCAGCAAAGCTGTTTCATCTTGACTAAATGTCAACAAATAGCAGAAAACAATTGGTCATCTGACAATCAAAAATCCACACCCAGAAACACAGGGTCTCAATTAGAATTACACATTGAGAGAACAAGAGAGACTGTATAGCTTCCTCTAGAAAAGAAATAGCTGATTAGATGGTCTTACTCAAAGCCTTGGTCTGACATTTTCAGTCTTATCAGTCCACCGAAGAGGCTTCCATTAGGAGCAGTAAAAGTGTTGTAGTTCTTAATGCTAAAGGGTGGCGTATTAACCACCACTTTGAAGTAAGTGTTATCGTTACCTGTATGCAAAGATGAAAAACAATAAAGGCGACTGGTCAGGCCTACGTGACTATTTAAGGACATTTTCAAATTTATTTTTCTTTTTTTAATTTAGCTACACTGAAGCTTACTTCGAGCTGACTGCCAAACACAAACCAGCAGCAGCAGGGCTGCAGAGAGGAGAACAGGCTTCTTCATTCTGACTGGTGGGTAACACAATTCACACCTAAAAAGTTAGATATGCAAACATGAACACAAATATTCATCAGGAATGCATAAATCGAACCATTGTGGAAAGCAAATAAAAACCTCTTAGTCTTTTTTTTTCTTTAGGTACATGAGAGTAAGAGTACGATTAACTAAATGTTGATAATCAGTAAATCACTAAAATTTTTCTAAGTGGTCAGTGTGCAACACAATAAAAGTATAATAATCACTGTTGGCTGTTTTTTGTCAACAATGACAAAGAGCTTGGTTATTTAGCTTTTTTTAAAATTTAGCTTTTTTAAAAATTTCTTTTTACATTAAAATGAACAATGATTTATTCAAATATATATATATATATCTCCAGTTAGAAAAATCTTACCTTCTTCACCTACTCCTTCCAACAAATACAACTAATGCACCAGTGGAGGTTGGTAAGTTTTCAGTTGAACAGTTCCTCCTCCTCAAGTTGAAGCTCAACTATAGATAAGGAACTTTCACACCTCTATGCCTCACATAGTATTACACAGAAACAGCCAATGATGATACAGAAAAATACTTCCTGACAGACTGCCTTTGGATCCCCACACCCACCAGTAAATGTCTCTGCATGCCTGATTGCATTAAACCTTTAGTAGTTATAACATTACATTAAAGCACTGAATAAAGACTTTTTGTACAATAGTATTTTCTTCCTGACTAGTTTTAGTACTTTTTTGGTTTCTTCCCCAACCAGTTGTGGCAGATAACTGGCCCTCCCTGAGTCTGTTTTTTCATTATCAGTCTATCCTCTGGACCTACTGTCAGAATAAATATTTAAAAAAAAACGAGCAACAGTCAACAGCTGGAGTATTCATTCTTCCAAGGGCGCAAAAACATCAAATACAAGGTTTCATGCAAGTGCTCGAAGGAGGAAGTCCCCAGTGACCTGTTTATTACATTTTGTCAATCCCACCCTCCTTTGCCTTAAAACTGTCACACATAAACACTTTTTCTTCTACAGGCTTCTCAGAAGAACAAATATGAACGTGTGTACTGTAATAAGCAGCTAATATTTTTTTGCAACCTGGGAGTACTTCCAGGCACTAAGTGTAGTAGGACTGCCACGATTAGCCAACTAGTCATGATTACGTCGACTATCAAAATCAGCAACGACTAATTTAATAGTCGACGCATCGTTTGAAGCTTTGTAAGAAAGACGCGGAATAAGTAGTAGGATTTAAGAGCGTAATAATGGACTGAAACAGAAGATGGCAGCACCGCATGTACAAGGATGCCAGCTGCCATTAAACCCCAAAGAAGAAGAAGCAGTTACATTACATTACAGCGACATGGCGAAGCCTGTTCAAATTTGAAGACTCCCAAACGCGGCCGAAAAATGCATTCTGCATTTCCCCAGATTTGAAGGATAAGTCGAGTGCATCCTTCGTGGCCCAACCTATCCCAGGATTCATAGCGCGGCCCAGCCAATTCCAGTTCTCCAACAATGGTGGCAGCTACTTAGTTTTACAGTTTTTTCTGATTGCTTACAGTTTTTTCTGATTGCTTAAGCACATTTTTTGTAACCATTGGCTAATTTTGCAAAACTCTTCACACAAATAAGAAAACCTGTCACCCAATCATCAAAACATTGTAGTTCTCTTGCAAAAGCAAACACAGCTAGATTAACTCTTCACACCTTCGTAAAAATGGTGTTTCCGTATCAAACAGTACACACAAGCCATCATCTACTAAGCACACAATGCGCCAACTGCACACTGATGGTATGAATACAAAACACATCTGGCTTTTGCTTTCTCTGTGCACAAGGTAGGCTATGTCAGTTTGAGCTCATACTTCTGTCATAGATCCATAAGCATAGAGGGATCCAAACTTCAAGTACTGGTGTTTATTCAAACACATTAAAACAAACACAAGTGTTCATTTCCAAGTATAGGATTATTTGCAATCGCCATAATGACTATATGGGTTACTTGGTCTGCAGTGAACATGCTTCCTCTGCCCCCAGCATCTGGTCATCTAGCAATTCTGTAAAGTAACAATTTCAGTATTTTTACATCAATGGTATTGGTGTGTTTCTCATTGGCATATGGCAGTGCTACAAGTCTTTGTGCGAAGTGACTGTGCTAACCGATTCTCATTTCAAGATGTCCTTATGGTACTTGCTACAGTGTAGCGGCTCGAGTTAGGCTGGACCCGTTGGCCAGCTACCCTCAGGGTCATTCCACGGTTGATTACATGGTCCACTATTGTAGCTCTGATGTCATCAGCAATTCTATTTCTTACTCTTCCTACCCTTCCTCTCCCCCCTCCTCATCTTCCTCTCCCCCCTCCTCGTCTTCCTCTTGCTCCTCCTTGTCCTTGTCGTCCTCTTCATCCTACTTCTTCACCTCCACGTCCTCTTCCTCGGCCTCCTCTACTTCTCACTCTTTCTGCTCCCTCCATTGTACTCCGCACACACAGCTTACCTGTATTATAGTGCTTAGGCTGATTGCAAAGTGAACGAATTATCTAAGAAAGTTTTCACATGTGAAAGTGTGCCAGACAGTTGGCAAATTAGTGTTAATGATAGCCATACATGTGTATACTTTTGCTAGGAGTGTGTTGGAAATTTGGTAATTGAGTGTTGTGCAGTGAATTGTGCCTACAGTTTTGCAAAGTGTGTGTTACAAAATTGCAAACTGAGTGCAAAGCAGTTTTTGTGCTTTTAGTTTTGCAAACTCAGTGAGTGGTTTTGCTATAAGTCTGAATAGTTTTAGAGATTGTGCTACAGGAATCACAGTTAGGGTTTAAGCATTCAGAAAAAACTGTAATACTTAGTTTGCTCTTATTACTATTTCTGGGTCACAAAATGAACTTAACATATTTTCAGGTGAATGTAGCTGTGTAAACCTCAAATATCTGCTCAGTTTATCAAGACATCACATATTTGCAAAAGTGCCCGACGTTTTCGGAGACGTCTGTTACCCAGCAGCTCGATAGCTAACCGGGGGCAAGGCTCACTAGAACCCGTGAGAACACCGGACTGCCGGCAAATCCGTCTTTCGCTACTCAGGTTAAACATGATATATAAGTCACTTAGATAACTTAAAAATGTTGTTTGTCTTTTTTCATTGTTTTATTTGTTCCTGAGTAAATCAGTTTGGCTGAGATTAAAGTTATAGTTTTTACACAGCTGAATAAATGTCAAACAGAACTGATTAAACAGAAGTGTGAGATGCTCGAGAATTTACTCCTGTTATATTTTAGATAGCAAGGAGCAGACGGCTGAGTTTATTAAACTCCACCGAGACAATCTGCAAATGTAATTAAAAGTTTAATAAACTATCATCTTGTCTTTATTTTCAGTTAGCACCTACCTTAAACACTTCAAGCTGTAAGCTAATGATAGTTATATAAGAGCAGATGCATGCTGGCGCAATAAGCTGTAGTTTTACGTCCAATGGATGATGATCTGATTAGTCAACTAATCGCAAAAATAATTGGTGACTAGTCAACTATCAAAATAATTGTTCGTGGCAGCCCTAAAGTGTATACTTGACTCATACAGATCACACTAGTTGGAACATTGCATAACATATTTTCCCCATTACCTTCATTGTGTGGGTTTAACTCCTTTTTTGGTTTCTTCCCCAAACAGTTGTGGCAGATAAATTATTCTGTTTTTTCATTCTCAGTACTCAAGTACACATTCTTGGTGATCCTTGCTTTTGCAAGTTCACACAGGAGTCTGGACTTCTGGAGATCACAGCACCATCATTTTACAATTGAAATGGCACTTGACGACGTCAGCCCCAGAGTTTTTACTACCACCCCCTCTTTAATTTGACTGTGATTAATATTTGCAATGGAAATTACACATGATCTAAAATTACACGTTATGTAATAAGCTGATTTTTTTTTAAAGATAAAGGATAATTTTTAAACAAGTATTTTAAGCACTTTGACAAAATTTACTTTTACATACGTTCTGTTTCATTGTGTCTAATAAGCTTCACACAGTTAACTGCAGTCACTACATGACTGAAACACAAACTTTATCTCCTAAAAGACTATGGATGCTGTTGTGCTGTTGACCTCGGCCTCTCCACATGGCTCCGAGAGATAAAGGCTGCCGCACCCAAGCAGTAAACACTTTTATCGCGTGTGGTTAAACAGAATGCTAACATGATTGGTCAAAAAGTAGCAGACACTCAAAAGTTACAAAAGACAGCTGGTGTTTGGAAGAGATCATTTCAGTATCTCCATGTACCAACATGCTGTTTCTGCTCCCAGTGAAAAACTTCCTCCTGGATTAAAATGTTTTTAATGTTGGATTTAATTCAGAGTAAGCTGTTAAAATGAGAACAACACATTTTTACATCAGACAATAAGGGCGCGCCCGCGGCGGGTTGGAAAACAGTGTGCAGGGAGTCAGGCGTTCTCACCAGCTATAGTGAGCCTTGAACTATCAAGCTTGTGGGGTAACAGACATCTCCGAAAATATCAGATTATCTTAGCGAGTAGTAATATATTGATAACTTGAGCAGATGTTTGAAGTTTACAAATCTACATTCTTGCCTGAAAATATTGTAAAAGTTTATTTTGTGTCACAGAAACAGTAAAATTTTAAACTTTGAGAAATGGCCTCATTATTTCCTCCTGACCTACATTGTGTGGGTTCAGTTGTTTTTCAGGTTTGGTTATTTTAGTGTGACCCCAGACCCATCGACTAACAATGGAGGAGGTGGGGTTTGTGACCTGTACTGCAGCCAGACACCAGGGGGCGGTAGAGACATTTTGGCTTAATTTTTGGGGAGCTATTACCTGTGAAAGTTCTCAGACATGGGATTGTACAAGGGGCATACAGGGGCAGTGTTATTTGGAATGAATGCGCAACAAGTTCCCTCAAAAACTGAATACACTCCTTCTCTTTTTGTCAATAGCATCTCCAAAGCCATTCTGTTTTGCTATGTCATGAGACCAGTGTAGGGACTAACGCGTTAAGTAACGCGTTACAGTAACTACATTATTATTGTGGTAACGAGCACGGTAACTAGTTATTATGCCAAAATCAGGAACGCATTAATCGTTACTGGGATTTAGATAGGGTCATTATTTGTTACTTCTTGCGGTGGCTATCGCGGAGCTTCCACAGATTCAGTAACATTAGCAAGTGGTGGAGACCAGCAGGTGGATGAGAGAAAGGGGAGGCAAGACGAGAGACCCGAGGCGGGGCCGGGTGTTCTGGGAATCCATCCTACCTCAAAAAACATCCTACCCAATGTTTCTGCACACACGCGGCGCATGCGCACAACACCAAAGCCGAATTAACTTCTTTTTCTCTGACCCATCCGCTCCGAGTGTCAGGTGAACTGAACTTCAGGTAAGAAGTTATGACCTGCAGTCTATCTGGGTCAGATATAAACCAAGTTTAGGTGGAGTTTATTTTCGTTATGATGGCTTTTTCATACTGGGTACTAGCTAGCATGACGGAGTTTCTATACAGCTGGGT